CTAGGTAAACTAAACCAGTGTGGTGCTACACCTATATGAGGGAAGGGGAAAATTACCTATATTGGCTGCTTGTGCCTTCGAGGGCACCCCCAGTCTATACTCCTCCCCTCCTGAAATAAAGAAGGCAGTAGTCTTAGAAGGTACCTAGCAGCTGTGGAGAGAAATTACGTGAATTGGGAGAAACATAAAATATAATACCAAAAAATCAACTTCCCATTCTATCCAATTAACCCCTTAAAACCGGAGGGCGTACTATTACGCCGTATTCTAAGCGGCTCTAAACGCCGCAGGGCGTAATAGTATGTCCTCCGGTTTTTCTTACCAGGTCGCTGGCGATCCCACGCCGACGATCGCGGTTGGGGAGACTCACCTGGGATCCCTGGGAGTCCCCCGCAGCGGATCCTGCCTCCTCCGCCCCCCTCCCCCCCTTGCGAGGGCCTCACAATCGCATGGCCAGGTTAGCTGGCTGCTGCATTGCCAGCCGGGGGACTGCCTTTAATGACAGTTAGTCCCCCTGCTGGCTGGAAATCAAATAAAATAAAGTAAAAATCAGTGTAAAAAATAAATAAATTATATACTTAGATCATATATATTATATATATATATATATATATATATATTATCTACGTATATATATATATATATATATATATATATATATACACATTTACATTCACACACATACACTGTCTAGGTGTATTTTATTATTTATGTATATATATATATATATATATATATATATATATTAATATCAAATAACATGAAGACTGATACTGATTAATATATATATATATATATATATATATATTTTATATAATATAAAAAAAATGTAAATACATTAAAAATAAAATTAAAAAAAGAATTTAAAATTAAAAATATATATATGTGTGTTATTGATTCTAACTGTATTGTGTATTAATATATATATATATATATATATATATATATCAAAATACACGTAGAACAAATTAATATACATATATATATATATATATATATATATATCTATATACATAAATATATCCATATATATCACTATATATATATATATATATATACTTATATATTAATAAAAATTATTTAAAAATTATATATATATACATATATATATACACATACGTATATATATACATATATTAATTCTACATATATATTTATGTAATATTTTTACACAATAGGTATCTTAATTAATTACAATTAGCGGGACCTGCCTGACAACCCATGCAGAAAGTATAGGGAATTTAATTTGCTAGCACTAAATTTAACGCTATAACTTTCCAAGACACCATAAAATCTGTACATGGCGGGTACTGTTGTACTCGGGAGACTTCGCTGAACACAAATATTAGTGTTTCAAAACAGTAAAAGTTATTACAACGATGATATCGCCAGTAAAAGTGAAGTTTTTTGCATTTTTCACACACAAACAGCACTTACACGGACGATATTTCCGCCCGTCCAGCTCCTTGTAAACTCCGGTCTTTGTCGAAGATAACGTCCCAGGGACTTCAAAATCGTAAGTCCGACGTCTGGATCATTCCCACGGTGTTATGTTTTTCAAACGGGTCCTCACTTTACGGCTCTCTGGCTTTACGGCAAGGTCGCAAAATCATACGTGGTTTTCCCATTTCGGTTAATAAATTCGTGCTGTAATCCTTTCGTTATGTTTCCAATGTATTCCAAATGGTACTCATGCACACCATTTCGTGTCATTTCATTTTCAATTCATTTTACCGAAAAGCACTCATTCATGCTGCCTTCCGTTCGGTTTAATTCAATCGGTATACAATATCTTGCATCTAGGTCGGTCAAACTTGACGAATGACACTGCTCTTTCTTTTTCATTCTAATGGAGCTTTCGGCAGTTTTGCTCAGTTATGCACGCATTCGTTCACATCTTGCATACGGCAAACTCTGGTTCTGTTTTTATAGTAGACCAAATTCGGTTCATCTACCTTTCTATGTACTGTTATAAATTTGTTTAAATCTGTCATACTTTTATATATATACTTATTCATACCATACTAGGTTTTCATCTTGATTAACATTTTCTCATGTATATTGGTTTAGTTTATAGTTATTTTAAGTTACTTAATTATAGATATTTCAGTTATATTACAGTAATTGTTTAGCCTACGATTATGGCTTATTTCTAAAGTCTTATGGAGATCATGCTTTTATTCAACCATGTACATCAGGATTACATGGCACTTACAATTTTCAGACCATTTCTTGACATACTCAGATGACATACCACAAGTATACAAGAACACGGTCCTATCTTTCACAAGACTTTTGGGTTGAATCACACGCTTTGGTTCAACCATTCATACGTCACGTTACAACAACTTTTTTGTCACTTCACAAAATTCAACCTCATCCACATCATTCCAATTTTACCACATGACAGGAGGCTTCATATTTGCATATCTTTCTTTACTGAAAACTCCAGCAGCATAGAAACATAACAACCAATCAGAAAAAAGTTATGATGCCCATAAAAGGCCCTGTCTATGACATCACTTCCTCTTTCTTTGAAGCGAAACAATAAATAACAACAAGAGACATAATCATATTACGTCAACAGTTCAACAACATATTAGAATATCCAACTCCATTAGTTCCGCGATGCAGAGGTATGGAAGGTGAATCTTTGTCTCGATGAGAAGACGTTCACGCTGCAAGAAAAAGAAAAAAGGTGAAAGGTATCTGGCGTGAAAACTTATCCGCATACAATAAGCATTAAGCATCTGATATACCAACGAACATTAGAATGTGAAACATATCAATATATATTTATTCTAACGCAATGATATTTAAGAATCTATAAGAACAACATAATGCAAGGTTCATGTCTAATATTCAGCCAATACAAGACCCACAAGATACAGGTCTAAGTAGCAAACATACAAACTATACGTACTTACCTTCCTGAACATAAAGGACATATTCTGTTCAACACGAGAAACATGGGAGGGATCCTATAGGGTGGGAAATATTCGCCTCCTGTCATTACTAAAATTAAGATTATTAGTACACTAAAGCTAATATAATCTTCAATTTTACCACATGACAGGAGGCTTCATATTTGCATTTTTAAAGCTTTGAATTGACCAATGTGAAGGAAGCATGAGATGTTTGCCGAAAATAGAACGTTCTAAACGTACTCTCTCGCGCTCAGTCCGCGCAGCGTATAATGTCGGCTAGGGAAGCGTCGTCCGAAAAGGTTTTTGAGGCCGTCGCTCCCCTGACCGAGTGGGCTCCGAAACAAGGTTCGACGCTAAAGACAAAAACCAGCGGACCCATCTGGCCAGTGTTGCGGTAGACACCGGTCCATGAGGGTTTACGTAAGAAGTCAGAAGGTGATCCGTCGAATGAGTTCGAAGGGGGTAGAGATATTGGTGTACTCCATTAGCGTTCTGACCACGCATAGTGTGGCTTCTGACACAAAGCATGGGTATGACACTGAAGACGAATCAGACTTAGTTCGTCTCGACATGGTAAAGGTAACCCCGTCTGGTGTGAGAGAGAAACCATCCATATCGCAAGCCCTAACGTCCGCCACCGTCTAAATGAGGCAAGGCATAATAAGAGGGCTAGTTTGGCTGAAAGTTGCTTCAGTGACAAACAAGGATTGTCCGGCCATTCCCTAAGGAATCTCAGCACCACATCCACCTGCCAGAGGTGTGAATATTTGGGTGCAGGGATCTCGACAATTCGGCACCCCGCAGTAGTCGACAAACCAGTGTATCTTGACCTACTGGTCTGCCCTGTACCGGAACGTGCGCCGCCGGCATGTCGGATCTGATCACATTGAGGGATCGATATGACCGACCCAATGAGACCAGGTGTGACAGATAGTTGGGGATCAGTGGGACAGGTGCGGTAAAGGGATCGGAATCTCTTTCCACACACCAATCACTCCAGGCCGACCAGGCAGAAATATAGCCTTTCCTGGTGCCGGGAGCCTATGAGTCCCATAGGAGGTCTTAGTTGATGCAATAGTTCGTGATCTGACCAGGAGCCCCTGAAGCCGTCCAGGCAACTAGTGCCAGTTGTCCTTCCATGACAAGGGAGTGGGCTTCCCCTCGAGGTCCCGTCAGAAGTAGAGGGAAGGTAGGGAGTAGTAGAGGGTCTTCGCGAGACATCTCCAGGCGATCCGGGAAATCACGGTTGGCCCTGCCCGAGGGGTGTCATGAGCAGGAGCGATATCTTGTGGGTGTGTGTGTGTATCGAAGCACCCTTGCTACTGTGGAGAACGGCTGGGTCGCGTTTGCAGGGGTTCATCCATCGCCCCGTATCCGAAGGAAGAGTCAAAGATCGTTTTGCCAATCCAAGTTTGTATGTGAAGTAATCACCATCGAAATTCCATCCTCACTTCCGCTGACAGTGGGATCCAGTGGTCGTATGAGTGACCGGTGCGTACGTATCTCACCATCAGTCGTAGTGGGCCAGAGAATAACGCTTGTATGGAGGAGGAGAGGAGGAGAGGAATCCCACAATCCGACAGCTATCCTTATAGAGGCGCTCTTTGCCGTAGACTGACGCGGAACGTAGTTCTCCAAGCCGATGTCAAAACTGAGGAACTGGCCCGATTCAGATGGAGAAGCGATCTTTGTCTGTGTACAACAAAAAATCCATGGAGTCCCGAAAGTGAACGACAAATTTGTCTGCAAATGTAGCCTGGGTTCGTAAAGAATCAGCAAGTCTTCCAGGTATACGAGACATCGCACGCCCAAATTTACGGATGTGTGCCCTCACTGGTTACAGTAGGTTCACGAGCACCACGGAGTCGTAAACTGCCGTGTTAGTCCTCACCATTGGAATCGGAGGAAAACTTCGGCAGTCCAGGGCAACGGGTACCGACAAACGTGCGTCCTTGAGGTCCAGATGTGTAAACCAGTCGTTATGTAGGTTGACACACTAGTAGATGAAGCGGATGGGTTCCTTTGTGTAGTAGATGGGAGAAATATGAGGACTGTGTATACGATCTGGAACCTGTCGCCCAGAAGCGGCTGGTGGCTCGGTTCAGCTACCGACCAGTCCTCCCAGAAACACCTTTCCCCGTAGGGTTGTGGAAGACTTGTTTTAGCGAGGTCTGGGTTTAATTTAGTGTGGTGAATAAATTCACGTGTTTTTTTTTTTTGAGTACTGCAATGAACACTAAATCGAATAGTAGGCCTTGTGCTTTTGGGCCGAATACTTGTCGTTCCTAGGTCCAATAGTGTGTTGTCGATGCGGCCCAGTACAGATTTGCGTCTGTCGGCGCATAGTGCGTCATTTACGTTGCCCAGGAGGCATATCGAGCATTGAGACCGTTCTTTGGAAGTGGTAGGGTTGAGTTGTGTACCCTGGGGTAACTCGGTCTTGAGGCGTGCGCATCCTTCCATCCCCCGAGGGTTGCGCAGTGTTCGTCCAGGAACGTTCCGTCTTCGGCTACTCTGGTTTAGTGCCGCTACAGTTATCTCTGCCTCAGCCGCCGTCACGGAGTAAGGTTTCCCTAACGTACTTCGAGGAAGTGTGGGGAAGGTCTTGCCGTTCCATTTCCTCAGACGGTGAGCTGTCTTCGTGTCGCTCATCTACCATGTCCAAAGTACGTGGTGGGTAATAGTCTTCTTTGTCGGAAGATTGTGGCGGACGGGGTTTGGATTCCCGGTGCTCCGCCTATTTGGTCTGTTCGATGGGCATCTTGCCCTTGACCTTAGTGGCAGGGGGGCTGGAGCCCTTCCCTTGCCGTTTTGACTTGAAGGCTTGTGGGCCTGAGGTCTCCATCAAGCGGTGTGGGGTAGAGTTCATAACAGAACCTTCTCCACTGAGGCCATTACTGTGGCGTTTATCATTGTCTAGAAATCTTGGGAACGTTGAGAGTGTCCACCATGACTCGTTCCCGTCCTGTTGGGAGATAGTGTGAGGGTCAGCACGTAGGGGTGTTAGACTCCTGGTAGAACTGGGGATCACCCAGGTAAAACGGTTTGAATTGCCTGCTTTAGTATGTCTGAGAGTATGAATACTCGTGCCAAGTGTAGAGGGGTCACCTCTATTAGTTTAATCTGGCTACTGAGAGCCGTGGTGCAGGCGCGACTGACTGGTAGTGGTGTCGGTCTGGCTAGCCGGGTTCACCACAAATGTACGCCAGAGCTGTATGCACGGTTTTTAACTATACAGGCTTATTATATAGGCGCATGGGGCCTGTCTCCATAAGGTCTGCAGCCGCAGGACCCATGTCTATTAGGCTGGGTTCATCCCAGGTGGTGTGCCATGGTAACCCAGAGGACACCCATATTATAATTATTGGCATCTTACAAGCATTGCATGCATATCTGGGAGTCATCCCAGGTGGTGTGCCATGAAAAATTACCCAGAGGACACCCACGTTCCATATGTACACTAGGCACAGTAAATATACATATATGTATCCCTGTGAAGGGTACACCGCAATACACTCAATTTTCTTAGTGATCCTGCCGTCAAATCGCATCCGGCATGGTACTGTTGCTTTAATGTAAAACTGACAGGCAGTGTTTAACCCCTTAAAGACACATGAGATGTGTGACATGTCATGATTCCCATTTATTCCAAAAGTTAAACATCCATAGTTAAGGGGTTAAACATCCATATATGTCTGTAGTAATCAGTGGTAAAGTTGAGGCGTAGGCCTCCATGCATATGATCGGGGTTCACCCCGGGTGGTGTGCCATGGTAACCCAGAGGACACCCACATCAAAGGTAATGGTCTGTCAGTGACCTTGCATGCATATCTGGGGGGTCACCCCAGGTGGTGTGCCATGAAAAAATACCCAGAGGACACCCACATAAATTTGCACCGTCAGGTACAGTAATATAATATGACCCTCTGTAGGGTACAATAATATGATATAATATGCCCTTTGTAGGGTACAGTAACACAATATGCCCTTCGTAGGGTACAGTGATATAGTTGATCTTGTTATAGGTACAGTATGTGTTTTGTACAACGACTGTGATATTGTATGGCTTCACAATAATACATAGATTGTGTGCCTGCTCAACATATAATCATCCAGTGTAAGGCACCATGAGAAATATATCCATGAGAATAAAAAAAATAATAATTGTATATAATTTTTGCCAGTATGCAGTCTGATCCTGAGGAGATTATAACAATGTATAGTATAACCCTAATTGGGGTATAGTAACTGGTATTACCCTAAGCAGGGCATAGAGACATAAAGGTCTGAAGCTGGCAAAGAATGGGTGCTTGTCTCTTTTTAATGCATGCATTTATTGTAGATGGGCAGCACAGCAGGCAGGCACTGGGCAAAATATATATCCTCTGGAAGGCAAACTAAAACTGTTACACTAATACCCTCCCTTAGTACACACTAGGGAGGGTATACAGATGTGAAGTCCGGCGTTTGGGTGAGTTACCGATCCGCCGGGCAAGCGGGGAAGGCGGCCGTCCGGTATCTCGCGAGCTGCGAGATCCAAGATGGCCGCCGCCCGCGTGTGAAGGTGCGCCGTGATCGACCGCGCGGCGCCGGAACGACAAGGGGGAAACGCAGTTCCCAGTCCCCCTCCACCCGTCCCCCTGCCGGCCCCACACAGAGAAAACAGTTAGCCGGCCCGTGGCGCGCGGCACTGACAGCCGTGCTCGCGGGTATCGGCAGTGGAGAGTAATAGGGGGGGGGCCTAAAACACAGCAGGGACAGGGATAAGGGGACCCGAAAAGAAAAACCAACAAAAGTAAATAAATTAATTAAATAAATAAATTAAATTAGATAAATTAAATTAAAACAATACAATCCAAAAATACAGAGAAACAAAACAAACCAAAGTAGGTGAGAAAAACAATGTATGTAAGCAATTGCCAGAGAGGCAAAATACTCTGACCTGATGTTGGCTGGAGCAGCAAAGAAAGAGGAAGTGATGTCATAGACAGGGCCTTTTATGGGCATCATAACTTTTTTCTGATTGGTTGTTATGTTTCTATGCTGCTGGAGTTTTCAGTAAAGAAAGATATGCAAATATTCGCCTCCTGTCATTACTAAAATTAAGATTATTAGTACACTAAAGCTAATATAATCTTCAATTTTATGCCACGGCGCATATATATATTCTATACATAATCATTCCAACCCTCCCTGCACTTTTTTATACTCAAACCCTAGCATTTCCCACATCACTTAGTGACATGCATATCATCTGGTCACCCTCTGTAGACACACATACACGGCCAAGCCCCTACTACCCGGTTCAAACTCAGCTTTACGCCTAGCATGGGCCAGTCATGTCACTATCATACTCATAGTCTTTTTACCTCCCGCAAATACTGGTAGAAGCCCAAACCCCACCTTTACATACTATGAGTCTCACAGGATCCATGCTCACTCCATCACTTTTGTTTCTACCCATTTAGGTTTATCCAGGTGTTGTTATACCTGTCGAATCTCTAAACTTTATACATACTACCAGGTACATAAGCCTGCTCATGTTTTAGTTCACATACGTTTCATTTTCCCTAGGCCATAGAGTACTGGCAAGTTAGGAGTATAGGCCCAAATAGGTATCTCCCTTCTTGGCATTCTGCCTATCGTATAGTGGTCTGCGAGGCCAACACCCCGCGTCAACGTTTCGGAGGCAAACGCCCATCGGGTCACACGTGAGTTAGCCGCCTCGCAATATTATAGAGAGGGCCTCACCTGTCACTCCCTCCCCCTGTTTTCTTTTACTATCACTGAGAGGCCTACGATTCCTGGCACTATGACGGGTGGCCTCAATATCCCCTTGCGCCAACACATAGACAGAGCCTCTCATAGCCACTTGGCAACTAGCAGGGCCTCACCTGTCACCAAACAAGATAAATTGTTCGCTTTTCCGGCCTAGTTAGACTGCCAGTACCACCCCTGGGTTCCATACAGTAACCAAAATATTTTGTCATTTAGTATGTCTCAAGAAGGGGTAGAGGATTTCTCCCTACCGGGCACTCCGGCTAGAGCAAACTCCCCATCACAGGGAGGAGAGGTGGCTAGTCCAGCATCTTTCAGGTCATGGACAATCCCTCGCATAACCAACGAACTCAGGAGACGGCAAACCCTGTTCCCCGCAACAGCAAGGAAAGCGGAACTCTACAAGTTACTGCACACCTCTACCGATGACATTGATGCCGGGGCAGGGACTAGCCAGTCTAACCCGGGAGATATACACGGCATGCTCTCATCCCTCATGGCATCCATGAGCAAGGTCAATTCCAGGCTGGAGAAACTCGAATTGGTCACCACAGCCCTTACCATGGCTAGGCCGGCCGCTGCGACCCCTCCACCACTGGTCGAGTTGCCATCAGTTTCTCCAGCCACCACTTCTGATGATCAAGAGGTTAACCCTGCCCATATGATACCTGAGCACATCAAAATAAATATCCTGGAAGGTAAAGATATCAACTTGGCTTCATTGCTGATTGCCTCCCAGGATGTGGTGGAACATAAGACGTACGCTTATGATGATATTTCTGTGGTGGTCAAATCTAGGGATGCCCGATTAAACAGGAAACTGACCATCCCTGAATTTGTGTTGGCATTTGGCATTTGATATTTATCGTGATGTTATCTGTGCAGTATATCCCCACAGACGTGAGGAGTTTGATTTGTTTATGCACAAGCTGGTGGACCTGGGCAACAAATATGGTGGGTCAACTTTCTATGATTACCATAGATCCTTTTCTGCCAACGTGTCTGGCGCTTTCTCCCAGTACGGGACAAGGTCCAACTGGAGCAAGATTGATACGGTCATTTTCTGCAGACACTTTGCAGGGCTAAGAACGCCGGCTTGTGCATACTGCTCCTCCATGGCTCATACGGCTAATTTCTGTCCAACCACTGCGAACCTGCCCCCTCGCAGGGCACTAGTTCCGCTGGTTCTGCAGAAAAAACACCCAAAGACAAACTGGGATGGCCTATCAAGTTTCTGGGCAAGTCCCAGATATGTAATAATTTTAATGTCGGATCATGTAATTACAGTGGATGTCGGCTATTGCATATATGTTTAAAATGTTACAGGGCACATGCCAAAACCATGTGTCCTAATAAAATGTATCCTAAACAATACTTAACGTCGATAAACATTTCTGTACTTACGACATTACTGTCACATCATCCATCTAGACATTTGGTAGAATTAATTATATCGGGTCTATCAGAAGGATTCCACACAGGTCTCATACACATGCCTTCCGGAATCCTGGAATGTCCAAATTTACAATCCGCACAGCAAAATCCTA